CCCCCCCCTTGCCCCCGTCTCCTCCCCGGCCCCCGCGGTGCTCGCCCGGTCTCTCGGCACTGCAGGTTGCGGGTGCAGCCTGCCCACGATCTCTTTGTTTTCTCTTCTTCCTCTCCAGGATCATGGAGTTTTTGCCTCCCTTTCAGCGGGTGGTACAGCCCGAGGAGATGTGGCTTTATAAAAACCCCTACGTGGAAGTGGATCACGTACCCACGATACCCATGTTTGTAAGTTCAGCGGTTTCCTGCATTTACTTAGTTTTTTCTCTAATTATGAACTATCCTTTTAAAGCAAAGCTACTAGCTAAAAGGCTTGTATTGCGAATGCCGGTAGTTCTTAATGCACGTTACTGAAAGCGCAATTTATTACTGCAAACGTTTTACAGTTTACAGTTATTTTTGTCATCTTTTTAGGCTTTACCATCCAGGGTTGTCTTTGGGATTTTAACGTAGTTCATAAAAACTAGTGGGGACTTATCACTTATTCATAATCGATTTCACGTCCAGATTACTAGGACCACGGAGGACAGCGTATCTCTCACTGTCAGGGAACGTTTTGCTTGAAAGCAGCTATTTTCAGCAAAGTTTTATTATAATTTTATTGTGAAAATGTTTTCCCTAGGTCTCTAGGCTCTGTTAAAAGGGTTTAATATAAAACTAAGTGTTGGATTTCAAGTAGACAGTAGTCCGTTAAAGGGCTTGTCCCTTCCTCTGAAGCAGGGGTGTTTCGGTGAGATGCTGCGGCTCCTGGGCTGGGCAAACATCCACTTTCTTAGCAAATAGCGCTTTGGATTTTCTGCAAGAGGTGGGCACTAAACATTAAAGGACAAAACCTTGGCATAGCGTTTGGATTTGGCGGTGTAAAGCATGACGTATACCAGACTTCAGGTGGTAGCAGACTCCTTGGGAGCCTGTCGGACACACCGTGGACGTCCCCAGGGTGAAATCCCACAGCAGCAGTTGCCGCTGAGATGTGGATGATAACTGGTTTCCTCTGAATCAGCGGCTCCTGTATTTTTTGCTGACGAGCAGCATGGGTGCCGCTGACAAAGAGCTAATCCTTGTGCTTGCGGGGATGGGGAGAGTTGAGGTGCTGTGGCTGATACTGTGAAGGGATACCCGCAAGCAGGAGAGGAGGAGGGAGCTGCAGGCAGGAGAGACGTGAAGCCAGCCAAAGCAGCGCACTCGTCCCAGAGGTGCTATTTGAGAGCCTGGGGACGTGCTGGGCTTTTCTCAGAGGAGGGAAGGCTCCGCTGCTCTGCTGAGTGTGTGCGCTCAGTGGGTAAAGTGGGATGCAGAGAGGGGCTTTTTAGTGCACTGCATTATTTATGCTGCCTGGGTTTTTTTTTTCTCATGCTTCGGTACAGGCAACATCCAGCGACCCATGGGCTTGCTTTTGTACGTGAGGCGCTGCCGTTGGATGACAAACAGGAGGAATAGCCGTGCTCTGGGGAGCACAGGGTTAGTCCGGGTTTGCTGCAAATACACCCGGGGTTGGTTTTGCTTTCTGATGGAAATGTAATTGCCTGTGGAGAGGACAGGTTGCTGCTTGGCTTTGGGGAAGGAAGGTGTATAGTCTCTGCAAGCAATCGCTGTTGTGCTCTAGGGAGAGTGCTTAAATCTGCTTCGTTAACAGACACCTAACAAACTTCTCATTTTGTGGCAGTTCATCGCATTTCTGTCTCCCCTATTGCTCATTGTCCTGGCAAGGATGTTCATGAATGCCGACCGAGAAGACACGCGGGAAGCCTGCCTAGGTGAGCTCCTTCTTATCCCAGGGAGCTGCAGCCCCCCGAGGGGTCTGCCCTGATGCTGTGGCTGTGAGCCAGGGGTCTCACAGATGAGTCCTTTGCTCTTGCTGGGGCACAAGTGTTGTGCCGGGGGTATCAAAGCTGAGCTGTGTCGTTCCAGCTGAATTCTGAGCTCTGCCTGTGCCTGAATGTGCCTCGAAGCTGCACTTTCAGGTGGGGTCGATGCTGACGTGACCTCTCTGCTCTCTCCTAGCTGCCAGCCTTGCTCTCGCCCTGAACGGGGTTTTCACAAATGCCCTGAAGCTCATTGTGGGGAGGTGAGAAATTGCGTTATTCCTAGCTGCGCCATGTGGGGAGGGGGGGCATATCTGCGCAGTGATAGAGCTACAAGAGTAGGAGCAAGGGCTAGAAGCTGAGGTTGGACATCCTTAGCCTGGAAAAAATGTGGTTTTTCTAGCTGTAAAGACAATTAAATATTAGAACAAACACTGGTGAGGACCTGCTGTCTCTGGGCATCATTTAGATGCGCTCATTCAGGCCTGCGCCAGGGAGGAGCGCCTTGGCACGTGTACGGGGAGCGGATGGGATGGTTTCATCTCCCTGGGCCACGTGGTCAGGGTGGCAAAAAGTTACCTGTGCCGAGCCGCAGCCCGAGGGGTTTGCTCCGGTGTGCCTGCAGGGTGTGCAACCAGGGCACGTGAGGCTGCCTAGGAATTCGGTTCTTGTAAGGCATTTGCTCTGCTGGGCCGGACAGGGAGGATCAGCACAGAGCTAATCCTCGGGGGCTAAACCGGGTCCTGCCCAAGCAGCGGTGGGCCGGTGAGGGTGTGCTGCTGCAGCCTGGCTCTCGTCTGCCGAGCCCTGCCTGCCCAGGCGCGATGCTCAGTTTTGCATTTCTCGCAGCCTGGGTTGCGCTGCCTTCCCTTTGCGCAATGGAGGGAGCGGTGGGAGGTGGCTGGTGACTGCATTCGGACGTGGGTGCTCCGTGGGAGGGCTGGGTGCTCAGATGTCTCCCGAGCACCGTGCTGGGAGTGCTGCACGCCTGAGGGCTATGTGCTTTGTTCTCTGCCCTAGGCCACGGCCGGACTTCTTCTATCGATGCTTCCCAGATGGACGAGCGAACACGGAGCTGGTGTGCACAGGCGATCCTGCCGTAGTGACTGAGGGACGCAAAAGCTTCCCCAGCGGACATGCTTCTTGTAAGTTTTCCATGTCCCCTACCCGCTGCAGCCGGAGACAATGAACCGTGGTGAGCAGAAGCCTGTGGGGAGGGCAGCTTGGGTTTGCTTTCGTGCACCCCGCAGCTTTGGCTACATTCATTGGCCTGTTTGGGGCCCTCAACTTTCCCATGCAAAGCGATGGGGTGACAAACGTAATCTGAAGCTGTCTGTAACTCCTGGGAGGAGGGGTGCTTGCTAAGTACCAGCTTCTGTGGCTCCTCTGTCGTTCACGAGCTGGTGCTTCCCTTGGCTCATGTGGGCAAGACAGACGTCCTCTTTCAGCCCCTCCACTGCAGCAGGGGAGAGGGTGAAGCTCTGGCTGAGGGCCCACGGCAGAGCCCGGAGCCGTTTCTGAAGCAACACGGTTCTCTTTCAGTCGCCTTTGCTGGTCTCGCCTTCTCCGCCTTCTACATAGCTGGGAAGCTGCGCTGCTTCGCTCCCGGCCGGAGAGGCAGGGCTCTGCGGCTCTGTGCCTTCCTCCTCCCACTGTTCCTCGCCACCCTCATCGCTGTGTCCCGTACCTGCGACTACAAGCACCACTGGCAAGGTGGGTCGGCGTCTGCCTGCGGACGTGGACGGAGGGCACAACTGGGTACTCTGAGCGCAGGGAGGGTCCGTGTTGCTGCAGGGGAGTTCAGAGCTCATGCTGGCAGCTTGGGCTGCCAGCTTTTTGATTACTCCTCCGGCGGTAATTTGTTTGCTGCTTGCAAGGCGATGATGCCTTTCTCTTTGTTTTTGAAATATATGCCAAACTTAGTTTTATAGCCAAGGGTCAAGTCACTGATCCAGCTCAGCCCTGAGCAGGCTGAAAAGCTGCTTGCTGGAGAATTCACTGACGAGGATTGTGAGGGTAAAGGGAAGTTAACTCTCCTCTGGTCTTGGCCGCAGATGTGTTGGTTGGCTCAGCCATCGGCTTCGTGCTTGCATACCTCTGCTACAGGCAGTATTACCCTCCTCTGATGGACTCCATGTGCCACAAACCGTTTCTGTACAAATCCAAACAACTGCCAGCGCACCAAGAAAAGCCTGCAGCTTCCAGCTTTCACCTAGATATATAGTGATGGGCTCTGTCCTGCCGGCACCTTTCCTGCTGCTCCTTGAGTGCTAGGGCAGAGGAAGGCTTTGGGGAGGTTGGTCTGCGAGAAGTGGCTCAAATGAGGATGAACCTGAAACCCAAGCAGGCGTTCTCTGCGGTGCCGGTAAGTTGTCCTGCTCAGAGGCCTGTGTTGCTTCGTTAACTGAATTTTGTAGCCATCCCTCCCTTCGGGCCCACTGCGAAGCGAGCGAGGCACTCGGCGTCCAAACCTGCAGGAGGACAGCCCGGGTACGAAAGGTCCTGAAGCAAGAACTGGAAAAATGTGACTGTGTGCCCCGTCCGGTGGGTGTTCTTGTGTCCGGTCCAGAAAGCACCATCAGTCGTCTCCCTTCAATCCAGCCGAGCTGTCCCATCCCGTCTCATGGGAAGCGTACGTTGAAATGAAGTGCAGGACCTGCTCCTGGTGCCGGGTTTAAGTCCGTCTTTTCAATTGCAGCTGAGCTAATTTGGAGTAATTAGCATGAGGTTGCAGTCTTTAACCATGGATTAAGTGGGAGAGAGGGGAGATGAAACTAGCATGATCGTTACTTGTATTGTTGTGCTAGCCCTAATTTTTTCTAATTTGCCAAATAAAGGAGTTTAATTTTTTTAATGAGCTGTGGTACTAAAAACTTTACTTCAAGGACTGGGTTTATTGCTGTATAAACCATTTCCTTTGGTATGTCTGCAGGGGGTTCTAGGTGGGTGTTTATTTTGTATCTCTTTCCTTGCAGCTTTAATATGGTTGTAAAGAGATGACAGTCGGCAGAAAATGAAATGGTGTCTGAAAGCATCCCTTCGAAGGTGCTTGTTTCTCTACACCGTGGTTTGTTTTCTCAGACAATGGAAGGGTAGAGTGCTGCTGAGAAATCCAAAGCACAGCTGTATGGCAGGACTGTTGTAAGTAGTTGTTTGTCACTAGTCTCCTCCACAGATACGTGTATTCTTGATCAAGCGTATGTACGTGCAAACAGCAAAGGTGAGGCTGTAGCAGAGCGAGGCACGTGTGCCTCTGCCAAGCTCAGGACACTACAGTAATGAAAACACCACCCCATCATCTTCAGTTTGGGCTACATAAGCCCTCTGTGACCCTGCAACTTCAATAGAAGTTACAGAAATAGCTTTACTTTCCCCTAAAATTGTGCACATGTGAATTCTTCAACCCCCTCCCCTCCCTCTCCCCCCAAACATGCACACGCCAGTCGTCTACTTATTTATTTTGACTTTTACTGGAAAAGACATTAAATAACATTTAAAATGTATTTAACTTTTTTTTTTTTAACAAAGTGCATAACTTCAAAAGCTGATCATGAGAGTGTCCCGTGTTAAGACTGTTCCTTTTCCTACTCTTGTAGGAGACGCTTTAGCAATCAGTAGTTCAGGCGCCAACTGAGCAGCATGTCTGTTTCTGCAGTCAGGTAAAAGAACAGCTTCAGTTCCTTTGGGATGGGAGGAGGGTTGTAGGCTGCAAACAAAACCTTTCAAATAGTGCAAATAATGTAGTACAAGGGAGGACAAACAAACAGGCTGTGGAAAAAAGGCTCCTTACCCCATGCAGGGCAAAAGTCAGTGGGAGGGAAAGTGGTTTGGCTCTTTCCAAAGGCTGTCACAGCAACGACCTTACACATCATTGAAGCGTCTGCCTCTGCCTTGCCCCGAGGCTGCAGCCTCAGCCCAGCCAGTGAGTCAGCCTGGGTGGTTTTGGTCGCAAGGGGGGATCACCAGAGGCTCTCTGGCCCCGTACCCTTGGAGCAGAGCTGGTACGCCACAGGCACCTGCAGACTGAACTGCCTGCAGAGCTGGTGTCGTTTCTTCAGTGGGGTCATTGGGACACAGTGTCCAGACCCTGCGGATCTGCGCTCCGACTTCGCTGGCTGCATTTTGTGTATTTAAAACCAAAACCAATGACTGGAGCCTGGCTGGCGTGAGATCCCTGTAGCCACCCCGAAAGCTACACTGCAGCAGGATTGTAGCGTTGCTCTGTGCCCCTGCAAAGCCTCCAAATTGCCTGGACGCTGCTGAGGAGCAGCTGCTTTCCCCCGGCATAGCTGCAGTTTGATCTGGAGGTGAAGCTTTCCTCCCGTATAGTTACACCTGGCCACTAGCTTGGTCCTATGCAAGATGCAGGCAGCACCTCAGGGAGGCCCTTGGTTTGTTGGCCGCCGTGGGCTGGGTGAGGATGCTGAGAAGTCACTACAGCAGGCAGGAGCATCTGGGTCAAGCATGCACAAACACGCCGTTCTTTTACGGGGTAGTCCTGCCTGGCACGGCCCACGGGCGCACAAACCATGCAGCAGCAATTCAAGGAGTTGAGAATGGCTGGGGGGAACAGCGGACGCCTGTGCCTTGGGCTTCACCTCCCAAAGACCGCAGTCCTTGCGCCTGGTGCTCTGTGTAATGGCAGGGAGAAGTCAGCAATCTCCTTCACTCAACAAGGCTGCTATAGCTCTCTCCACGCTGCGCGTTTAAGGCTTTTATTCCTCAAGGTCACAAGCTGCGAGTTTCCTTACTATGCCAGGAGCAGAGTCAGGCCCTCGATGTCAGTTCCTAGCCCAGACAGCTAGTCTGCTTCGGTGCTAGAGGAGCTAGTGTCATAACTTACAAGGTGGAGGGTTAAAAGTACATGTTGCCACAGGGAGTCACAGTGCAAGTGCTGTGTGTGTTTGAGCAGAAGTGTTTTCCCTTGATACCTTTCCCCCCCACCCATACCCAAAATGGAGGAAAATGATCCTTATCTCCAGGTAGCAGCAAGTACTTGGGAAGAGCATGCGGGGGACACAGCAGCAGAGGAGAGAGGAAGGCAGAGAAGAAATCTGGACTTTCCTGGTGAGTACTCGGTTGAATTGGATCTAAGAAAGCAAAAGCAGAACATAGGAATAGCTGCACTAGGGCAGACCAAAATCCACCCAGCCCCGCCTCCCATACCCAGCACTTACCAGCGTTAGGCTTTGAGGGCAAGAAGACATAAGGATGCGCCTTACCCCTAGTCTACCCTCGGCCAGCAGTTAGCACCAGAGGGGGAAAGCACCCCTGCAAGAACCGCAGGGTCCACGCTCTGGTTCGCTACCTGTCTATAAGAAACATTCAGCCCGGGAGGCTTGGAGAACGGGCCATGCAGCTGGTCGTTCCCTTGGTGGATTGAACTGATCGTACTGTGCACAGTTGCTGCTGCCTTTATCGTCAGCAGCAGCAGTTCATTAGCTTTCCTCGTGTCTATTAGTGCTTATGTGCAGGATAAGAGGAAAGAAGCCAAACGGGCTGACAGGCCAAAGGAAAAACCTGACACAAACTCTTGCCTTAGACACAGAGCTGTACATAAGGAATATTATTCCCTCAAATGGACCAGAAGTCCTCTGAGGTGTCCTAGGAAATTCAGAAGGAAGGTGGAGGCAAGATGACTTACATCAAGAGGCCAGAACAGCACAGGTTGGTCATTGGCTTCCTGGCAAAGGTTGATCCAGTGTAATACCTTGTGTCTGGTAGATCTCCTTCAGAACCAGCAGAACGGTGTCTTCTGACTCCCTGGAGGAGGAAGACATGGGAATTAGAGGGCATAGCTTCCCTCCACTCTGTCAGGACATCTGTGATGGTTGTGGGATAGTTGCAGTGCTCAGCAAATGCAGGCAGTACTAGACAAGGAGAACTACAATGGTCTCCTTTGCTCTGTCCCTACCCACCCACTGTGCCTGCGTTATAGGCAGGAGCATATCTTGTTTACTGTTAAGGCTTTTCTTATTTCGTTGGCTTTAAAATGATGGCATTCTGTTTACATCAGACATGAATTTGAAGCTTTGATGGTTATGCAGAAGCTTACCAATAGCAGAGATGCCCTTGTAGTGCAAATAAATACTCGTTAAAGCTCTCTATTGGCTTCTCCTGCAGCACGTAGTCTATGCGATTCCCTCCGTTCAGCCTCCCCACATTAATGAGGGAGGCCTCTTCCTTCACTGCTGCGGGGGTCTCGTCTGGCTTTGCGTCTGAAGGAATGAAGAAGAGCAGTGTGGTTCAGCCAAGGGGCACCAGCAGCCCTGAAAGTACAACAGCATCACTGTGGCCTCCCTTTGCCCCACTGTGGGCTCTTGCAGAGGAGAGGCAGCTAAAGTGCTCGGTTCTTCCCCACCCAGGGCTCTTTCTTGGAAAACAGTATTGCAAGAGACAGCTAGAGAAAGGTGACGGGCTTGGCAAGCTTACAAAGTGATGTGGTGTGCTGAGACCCCCAGGAGGCTGTTACTGACCAGGCAGGTTGCCTCTTCTCCCCTTTCATCAGGCAATAACAGGGGAAGGCCGCAGCATTTGGAGAGCCAAGTGCATCCGCAGCTCAAGAGCAATCTCTTTGCTGAGCACAGAAGAGGGCAGCAGCGCCTGAGTTTGACGCCAGGATGGGCACCTCGCTGGCGTGGCTGCAGGGAGCCCAAGCGCGCTGCTCCGTGGGCAGGTCGCAATGCTGCATCCCCGGCTCCCCACCGCCCTGCGTGCACCACCGACCTGGCTGCTTCTCCACGCCGGTCTCTGCCTCCGCTTCGGCGTCGGTACTCGCCGCCTCCACGGCCGGCAGCGGGGCTCGAGGGAAGGACTGCCAGGCTACCCGCAGGGACCCCAGCAAGTTGTTCTTCAGGTCCACGCTCATGCGAGTCAGCCCTTCTTTCAGCTCTGAAAGGCAGGAGGGATCGGTGTCGGGCTGGGGGCTGCAGCAGCTGCCCAGGGCAGGAGGAGAGGGGCTGCTCTTTGCCTTACCTAGGTGCATTCTCTTCCTGCCCTTGTGGTGAGGCAGCAGCATGGGCTCAAACTCCAGATCTGGGACGATCATGGGCTCTATCCTGTACGCCACCGGGTCAAACTGTACAGAGGAGGGGGACAGTGAGCCAGGGCTCATGTTCCACACGTGTCATGCAGGAAGGCTCTGGTTCTTATACCTACAGGGTGGAAGATGTTGAAGAAGCCTTTGCAGGTGGGTAGGCTGTAGTTTGGGTTGATCCGCTTCACTCCTCGCACCGTGAGAAACATCCCGATGGGAGACCCAAAAGCAAAGAAGATGGTGGGCTTGTAGTTTAGCTGAGGATAGTTTGCCGAGACCTAGGAGAGAGGGAGATTCGGTTTTGTTTCATGAGACAAACTCTATACTGGTGTTACGAACACCTCATTGTTGCAGTTAGAGCACGGTGCCGAGCTCAGTAGTTACCTGTCCTAAGCCAATGTCCCGGTATTGGCAATTCCTGCCATCGTCTGTGCTGTCCGGGTCGTGCTGCAGTGGGGACCCAGGCTCCGCTCCGCGCTCCCCACTGTGCCTGGGAGCTCCTGCACTCTGGTCCTGCAGCAACATCAACCGGGAAACCCCGCTAGCATGCTCCTGCAGCGAGCCCACGCCACGGCCCGTCCTACCCACCCGTGAGCAAGTACACGAGGCAGCGAACTGCCCGGCATCCCGTATCCTCCAGAACCAGGGCACTCTTGGCAGCACCGTCCTTCCCCAGCCGACCACCTCTCTAGCTGGCATCACTAACTTCAGTCTCTACCACCATTAACATGTCCCCCTGCTCTGTGCCCTTACAAGCTACAGGATAAAGTGATCCTGCAGTAGGGTAACACCTGTAACACCAGTGTAACACGCGGGAGCGGCAAGCAGCTGTGAGAGCCGCCTGAGCAATGATGGCCGGGAACGAGGAGGTTGGAGTGCTCAGGGACTGAGGCCTCGCATCCCGGGTACCAGGCTGGTCCTTGTCTGAGAGGGATGGGATGTGACCTGGATGAACACAAGCCGTGCAGAAAACAAACCTGCATCTCCATCTTGGAGCTGATGTAATGAAGTATCTTCATTCTTGGTCCTAAGGGAATTCCCATTTCTTTAAGGTTTTTCTCTGTGCACAAGAACTGGAAAATAAGCAACCCAGATATTACTACAGGAGCAGAGAGGTGTGTGCGGTGAGGTATTTCTGTTCTCTGTAATTCTGTTCCTGCTGCACTCCTCAGAGACTTTTCATGTGCACGTGACTCAGTACCAGGAAGATGTGCGCAGGGTGGGAGGACAGGGAAGAAAAGCAAAGAAGAAACACAAGAGACAGCAAAACAGGAGAGCTCCCTACCAGTGCTTGCCTGTCCATTTTCTCCTTCTCAAAAACTTCGCAATATTCGGACAGCTCCAGCTTCTTCAGGATTTCTTTTACTTCCTCAATACCCCTGTTGCTTGAGGTTGTCCTGGACCCCTGTGAATAGAGCCACCAGGGATCATGCTTTTTGCTCACTTATTCTTTCCTGTGCGTTTTGGAGTCTCTCCCCCCTTCCCCAAGCAGCCGCAGAAGCAGGAGGTCGGTGTGACGCTGCAGCGGCACAGCTACCCGTGCGAGGGCTGCAGGAGTACCCCATGGGTCCGTGCACCGCCGGGGAGCGCGTACCTCTTTGCTGTGCTCGTCCTCCTCGGGAGCAGCCTTCTGGTTCGTCAGGAGATCAAACAAAATGAGCGACCCTAGAAACCAGGCGCAGGCACACAGAGCATCAGCATCTCATCGGGGAAAAGCCCTGAGCCATCTCCTTTCTGGGACGAAAGACCAGCACCCTCCCTGCTCCCACGCTGCGGGTGATGCTCATGGGACCCGCGGGTGAAACCCCTTACCCAAGCTGTGCCCCGCAATGGAGACCCCCCCTTTGAAGAGCGGGTTCCTCTGCAGGAAGAGCTGGTACAGGCGGTTCATTTCCGATGCCACCGTGTCCACGATGGTCTGGCAATAGGTGGAGCTGTTGTAAAAGAAAACGTCCAGGATGGTGTCGTTGATGAAGTGACGCAGGCGATTGATGCTCGGCAAAGTGATTCGCTCCAGGTCACTATGGGGGGAAAAGAGAGAGGGAATCGCAGTTAGGGGTGCCAGTGAACCCCACCACTAAAGCAAAATGTGGATTGCCACAGACTCAGAGGATGTAATGTAACCCAGACCCTCAGCTCATGCCAAGACCGAAGGTAGAGACCGAAGAGCTCTTACGCTCCAGGCAGGAGTAAGAAGCCTGGCCTTTCTTCCCCAGGAGCCCAACCTGCTCTCTCCCCTTCCTAGGGCACTGCAGAGCACTGGGTACTCAGTTTCCAGAGGCTTTCAGCAAGGCGTGGATGTCCACAGTCCCTCCTGATACTAGCCAGGGAAAGGCGGAAGCCTCTCCTCTCCGGCTGGATGCTGATCAGAGCAGGCACCTGCTGTGCTCTGCAAAACGGGGCTGCAAAAAGATGGTGGGGACGGGGTCTGGCACCGAGGTGCTCTACGGGACCCTGTTTGTCCTGCTTACCCCTGCATGCTCACAGCCCTAAACACGGCTTTCCCTTTGCCTGCAGTGGCCACCAGAAAAAGCAGAGTTTACGCGGGAGGAGGCTGGCTGTGCGCTTTGCCATTCCCACGGACACCGGCACCGGAGGAGATGGCTGTCCGGGACACTTACACGTCCACCCCGGTGGAGTGGAGGGAGCTGTGCCAGTTGACAGGTAGGAACTCCACCCGGCCGATCTGCTGCTGCTCCTGGGCTTTCTTGAAGTGCGCTTGCAGCATGCTCAGGGAAACGTTCCTGAAGTCATTCACTGGAAAAGAGCATGAACTCTTACCGAGATCCACTGGGCTACAGGGCCAGCCTGCTGCATCAACAACACTTAATAAGATAAAAGAAAAGATCATTACCAGGGGAAATCCCACCAGGGTCTTTAATCTGCTGCTGCTACCCTAAGACCTTGAATCTTTAACTACAAGATCAGGGAAAGGCTCCGTGTCCTTACATGTGTGTTTACTGGATTTCACTGTCCCATCTGCAACAAGCCTCCTTTCCACATGGGCAGGGCTCTAACACAGCAGTCAGGATAAGAAGGGTACTTTTAAGAAAAAAATCTGTTGCAAAGATGCATAGAAGGGGAATCCTAAGGGACGAGATGAACTTGAAATTACTCAGTTCTGAGGGAGAAAGGCTGATTTCCTTCATTTCAAATGGCCAGCAGCCTTGAAAATAGTTTCGTCAGATGAATGCATAGAAGAATGGACTGCATTCAAGCAAAGGTGTATTTTATAGGAACTAAAGACAGTCTGCTGTGAAAAATCTCAGCTCCCTTGATTTCTACAAGTTAAATCATGTTGGGCTTCCAGGCAGTGTCAGTGATCACCTCTGCTACAGAACTGAAGCACTCTGAGCAAATAATAATGAACAGGTCAGACCAGAGTTACTTGGTTTAGCACCCTGTCTCCAATATTGATCAACAGTAGATACTTAGAGTGTGTAAGACCAGCGATACTTCTTGCACGCTCTCCTAACCTCCAGGCATTTGCAGCTTGGGGATTTCCTGAGTCAGAAGCAGCATCCCTGGTTTTGGTCCAAAATCACTCCGGAGGCTGCTGGATGGGGTGTTGCCTGTTAGACTTCACCCAGTGAGATTAACCCGTAGCAATAGACTGAGCAGGTTACTAATTAGTTTAGCAGGTTTAGACAAATACTTGGAAAATCTGTATCCAATTTGGGAAACTCACTATTTTGAGCAGCAGCGGAACACAGTGATGAAAAGTGGTTGCCCAAACCTTTCCAGATGGTAGGATTTAATGGGTTAGTGAGTGTTGCATTCACGCTCCCCACTGCAGTCAGCAAATTCAACCGTGCAGCTTGCCAGCCTGAGTGTCGGGATGGTTTGAATGCACTCCGACAGTGTTTCACATTGTCCGTGCAGATGAGGGTTTACTGGCTCCGCTAAAAGCAGCGTATGGAAAGAGCCCCCCGGCCGGGCTCCACACCTACCGCACTGGATGATGCTCCTGAACCGAATGTCGCACGCTGGGCCGATCCCGTGCACCACAAAAACCAGGTGATCAATCTGCAGCGGCTCTCCTAGGGAGGAGAGAAGAGTTCAGAGCACAGGCCCTGGGGGAGACGTCACTTAATGGGGAACTGACCCGCTGAAACCACACGCTCTGCAGGAGAGTGGAGCCTCCCATCCTCACCTCAGCCAGGTAAAAAACCTTGACGTAGCACCTGGATTTTATGCCTAAAGGGTAGTGAGATTTCTCACGTTTCTGAACTGTGTGTCCTGCTAAATTCAGCTGCCCACCCTGGGATGGATCCGGATCGGCAGGACAGTAGAGAAAGGCGAGGCGGCTCGTCCGTCCTTTTGTCACCATCCTTACTTCAGCGGGAGTGGATGGTCCTCGCAGTTCACACCCACCCGGCCGTGGGGCACGTGCAGCAGGGGAGAGGGCAGGACCAGGAGGACTCGGTCCGGCTGCCCTGTGCCCAGGGTAACTGCATCTCAGGTAGGCAGCAGGTGGAGTTACGTCTTGTTCTCTACTTCCCACACACTTCAGTTTGTATACGTACTTTTCTGAAGGCATGCACGCGTGGAAAATGAAGGGGTTAGATGGGAGTAACTGCCTGTCCTCACCATGGGGACAATTCCTGAGGCCTGACCGGGAGCTCAGGGACAGCTGGGAGGGGGCAGAGCTGACGCACAGCTTCAGAGACAGGGAGAGCACGTGTGCCAGAAAGTCACCTGCGTGTAGGTAGGTGATATGAACATACACGCCAAAACCTCAGGGGTAATTTCAGGCACTGCAGTGCTTTCAACAGCTCTGGTCTCAGTGCAGGAGCTGGAAGCGCACCGCATTGTCCCCATGTGCTGCCTCCTCTGCGCATTCGTGTACGCTGTGGGCTCTCTGCTGCTAGGAAGGTTTCTGAAAGCCATTCTGTTCCTTTTGGCACAAAATTTTTAGATGTGCCCTTCATTTAAAGGATCGTGGAAGCTTCTGTCAGGCTTTCTGAGAAAACAGGTTGGAAAACAGACCAAATAGCTTTGGATGGGTGGAAGGGAGGGAGAAGCAAGCTCACCATTGGGGATCTCAGCAGCGATGTTTTCTACTCCTCTCTTCACAGTCCGAGGTCGACCTTGTTCCGTAGGAGTTGAGCCCCAATCATCGGAGGTGGCAACCGGATGGTAGTGCACCATCAGCTTGTAAACAAGAAGAGCCTGTCATTAAGCTGCGCTGCATACCGTGGTTAAGCAGAGGAGAAATTTGCTACAACAGCTGGTAGGTGATACGGGGTGGTACCAGACCGCGACGTTTAACTGCGCTGGTACGAGCCCTTTGCACAAAGAGTGAGAAAGGTGTGTTGAAAAGAAAGGTCAAGGTGTGAAGCAGACTCTCTGCTGGCATTGCCCTCTACTCTAGCACAGGTAGGCGAGGGGAATGCCGTTTGGACAGAATTGATTTCTCAGCAGATATGATTAAAAGAAACAGCATAAAGCCAGAGCATAAAGACAGCATAAAGACAGGACCTCAAAAGAACTGAAGAGATGTCCTTGCTGGTCAACACACCAGGCCCTCCTCACCTTTGGGTTGTGCAAGATAATGATTTCCCTGCTAGGGGACTCCAGTTTCTTCTTCCACTCATCCAGGGTCACAGCAATCATGTAAGCTTCCTGAGGAAAAGAATACCCTCCGTCAGTCAGCTGAAGGTATTCCTGTGAATATTCAACCACTTGGGACATTCCCCACCCATTTTACGGCATCTCTTATCAACACAATTTGCAAAAGAGGCAGAGAAATCAGCCAGGTCAAGCTGGAGGAGCAACAGGATCATTTGAGTATCACCTGCTAGAGAGTTTCCAAGACCCCCCGCCTTTAATTGCACTAGCAGACTTCCCCATCAATTTAGAATTGTATTTTTTGGTACATCAGAATACAGATTATTGTAAAGATGTATATTTTTATACATATATCCAGATATCTCTTCATATATATCTTTCCAAAGAAGAGTCTCCAGCCATTAACAGTACGGACCACTGAAGTCTCTAACACTACATAGCGTTCAGTGCGTCCCTGTAACAATGATTTCTCTTTCTTGCATTCACAACTCCCTTGGCTTTGGTAAAACTATGAGTGTAGTGAGGATGATTCTCCCAAGGAGAGTCAAACTGAAGTTAGAGCAGACAGGGTGAGAAAAAACCAGAGCGAAGCTGCTAGAGCGAGGCTGCAAGCAAGGCCAGAGCCGCACGGCATGCCGAGAGCACCTGGGCACTTAAACGTGTAGCAGAAGGATGCTGACGTGGCTGGTGGAGGGCAGGAGGAAGGGGAGGCCGCCCAGCTACAGCAGGCTGGGAGGGAGACAGTGGCGGTGCTTACAGTTATGTTAATCAGCTGCGAAAACGCCATGCCAAAGCCTCTTTTGAGTTCATGTCCTCAGGCGTGACTGTGGTGCCAGTATGGAGTTTGGGACATCAGGGCCAGTATTTGACAATGAGAAGCCAAGATGCTTCTCGGCAAGATGGAAAGGCGTGTTTACCTCCAGTTCTTCGCTGAAGGTCTCCGAGTAGGGAATATACTTATTGTCCTTGTCTCCCTTGTAAAACCAGGTGCAGCGACGCACTTCAGATACCTCCTCCTCCCAGTACACTGCGACACGCTGCCTCTTCTTCAGATGCACGTCGTACCTCCCCCCTGATGTTGGGACAACCAGATCTTCTTTGTCTCTCCCTGCAGGAACCAAGGGCTGAAATTAATCGCGAGAGGACCAGAAAGGCATGCTACCAGAAAGCTGTATACCACACCAGAACAGAGGGATGAGACTGGAGCATCTTCTGCGGGCAGCACACACGAGCATGTATGAGCAACGGCAGTAGACACCGATGTTCTCCATACCCAAGCACAGAGATCAGCGCTGGCGGGCATCCTAGGAGAGATGCCCCAGGTCAAACCTCCCCCAGAGGCAGAAGGTAAGAGGAAGGCATTAAGCTACAACTGTCTTCCTCTCTAGTTCAGGCATAGGCTTACACGGATTCTTCCTGCCTCACTTAGATGGTGTAACTCGAATTTGTGGCCCTGGGAAGTGCATTGCTTAACGGTGGAGGTGTGGGTCTCCAGGTCTCTAAGCCATTCCCCTCTGAAATGGAGAACTCCGCATAGATCCCAATAGGGACTTCAAATTCTGTTCGTTCTGCCGCCTTTTTGGTCTGCCCGCTGGCCAGGCTGCCGGCAGAGCGCCCCGTGCCAGGCTGTGCTCGGCTCAGCTGCGGCGCTGAGGACCGGCGGCACGGCCTCTAATCCAAAGCTTCCTGGGAGAGGGAGGACGGGAGCAACCCTTGGGCAATCGGTGCTCTGCCCGTGGCCGTTGGCAGCAGCGGTTTTAACCACAGTCCTGGCAGCGGGTTCTGCAGACGGGCGACACTTGGCAGCACGAGGGCCTTGTCGCAAGTGGTGCTGCTCGGAGCAGAGCCCACTGGAGGGGTGTCCCCGCTGGAGACCCTCCAGGAGCAGGCAGGCAGAGCACCACGCGTCCGCGCGGGAGAAACCTCCCCAGCGGAATTTCTGCCATCCTGCTAGCGCTCTCCCATCCACACCAGAAGCATGCTTTCCAGTATGATTATATATTATTTAGAGCATATATCAAATGAATGAGGTCAGACCATTAGATGCATCCAAACAGCTTCATTTTTCATGCGTTTACAGCTCTAGAGGTAGGCACATTGCCAAAAAAAATCCAGATTTAAAATTCCCAAGGGAAAAT